CCCCCCCCCTTCTTCTTCTTCTTCTTCTCTCTACGATTCTCTCTCTTTCCCCTTACTCATCTGTTTCTGTAGCTGCGTTGAGAGGAAGGGCACCTGCCGCTCCCTGGTGATTCAGCCTTTCAGCTTCGTGGAGCTCCTCTCAGACAGCATGTCCCTCTTTCCTCTGCAGTGGCTGGCCGTCCCGTCTTCTGCTCTTCATCCTCTGCTCCTCATCCTCTGCACTGCATCCTCACCTCCACACCGACTCTAAAGTGCTCAGGTGAGTGAGGGCTACTCTTCGCCTCTCTTCTACACCGCGCAGAACATTTAAGGACTCTTTTTTTTTTTGTTTACAGCCATTGTGACGCCTCTATTTATAGATTTCCTGTGGGACAGCATGAGTGAGGAACTTGTGCGCAGAAGGCTGTCTTCCTACCTCCCAGACTGTTAACAAGCTCACTCTTCATACCTTACTGCCGCCTCATGATGGAAAACATAGTCGAGGAGACCGGTGGCAGACACTGTGATGCTCTGAGTTAATAGTGTAGGTGTTCCGTGACCCAGAAGGATGACCGAGGGAATGGAGGACATCTCTCCCCCTCCTGGACAGGCCTCCCCCACCAGCTCTACTGTTGACACTGGACAAGTCCCCGAGGAGAAACCAGAGGAGAAACCAGAGGAGACGGAGGCAGCTGGCGAGGGTGGGGAGGGTGCAGAGGGTGATGGGGAACATGTGGGGGCTTTGGGAGTCGTGGCCTTGCCTGGAACCTGCTGTGTGTGCATAGAGATGGAACGGATTAACAATTGTCTGCACTCGGAGAAAATCTGCATCCTTCCCATCCTGGCCTGTCTGCTGAGTTTAGCCCTCTGCACCGCCGGCCTCAAGTGGGTCTTTGTGGATAAGATCTTTGAGTACGAACCCCCCACACACTTAGACCCCAAACCCATCGGACAAGACCCCATCATCATATCTGTGACCCCCACGCTGGGACTGACTGTGTCCATCCCTCACTCGTCGTCTACGTCTTTTGTCTCCTTGACCACGGCCATTACCTCGGGACGTCCTGAGGTTTTAATGGAGGAGAAATCCACACGAGGGCCGTACGTTTCCCCTCGAGTGACTCACGCTGATGCCTCTGTGACTCTGAAATACAGCGCAGAGCGGCCCACCCTCCCAAAGCTGACTCCCCTCCCTCGGACAACACAGGAGAGAAACGACATCTTCATCCCAACTCAATGTAAGTGCCTCACTTAGTTTAGTCGTTTCACGCAGCATGTCCCTTTGTTCCAGAAGGCTCTCTCGTGATGCAGGATGTCAGCATGGGGTTCACAAGCTTAACCTTGGACTGTGATTTTCTTCTTTTTTTTCTTTTTTTTTACAGATAAGCTGAGTGTGTCCCTGTTTTGTCATTGTGTTTGCAAATGGTGCGTTCTTTCCTCTGTCAGGCAGAGTCTCCTGCAGACACGTTGCGACTTGCAGAGTGTAGCAAGAGGCCCATGACCTAGCTGCTGAAATATTCCTCCACACTCTGAAGGTGTGCAGGAAACAACTGTTCTACCCCTGCAGTGAATGCATTATTTCTAACACTCACTCGCTCATCCTTAAGTATTAACACTCCCTGATTTAAACCACAATGATGCAGGGCACCGTTCAATAAATTCATGATGTTATTTGGAAGCAATAAGAGCCCTAAAATGTGTCAATGCCCATTCTTCAGTGGTATGAAAAAATCAATAAATGATGCAGGACACAATGTGGAACTCGTGGCTGTGGTACAGGGAGACTTCCTGTTTTCCTGCGCTCCATTTCAAGGTCAGAGCCGGCTGGAGGCTAATTGATGCCCCCTCCATCCGCCCGCCGGCCGCAGGGAAAACATCCACTAATACTGTCTGTCTGCCGGCGGCTCGCCGCCGTGACGTCTCTGTTGTGGTCACATCACCGTGTGCATGGTGGTGGCCTGAGCCTCGGTCAAAGTGTATATCCACATGATCCACAGCATGAGAAGACGATGCCTCTAGATCAGGGGTGTCCAAACTACGGACCTCATCAAATTCAAAAAGTATAATTGAATACGGCCCACAAATGAAACTTGTTCTTGTCTTATATTGTACTTCTTGAATATAAATGTAAACATATATCACACAGTAGTATTCATGTGTTAATAAGACCACTTTTCAAATACATTTAGTCAAGTTGGTAAACATTTTACTAACAAATCTTAGTTAATAAGAAAAAAGCCCAATCGACTTATTTCCTATAAGAAGCTTGAAATAAACCCTTTCTATTTCTCCTTATTATAATCAATCTGAGGCTTCTGCTTTAAGGGCTGAGCTGCCAACACTCACAAGCATCATGTACCTACATTTGATTGATTTTGCTAACTTAATACTGAACTTATGAGGCGATATACCTCTAGTGAGCGGCCCAGAACTATGTATATTTTTCTGTATTCTCGGTGAAAAAGTTTGGGCACCCCTGCTTTAGGTCCTTTGCTTTTTTGCAAAGAGATAATTCTACATGACCGGTCACTGCTAATAATACCAGTGTAACATTTGGGCGCGTTAGTGGTTTAGGGGATTTTACCTGCTGACAGCCAGTGGTGCTTTCTTACAGCAGAAGTACTCATGTGGGTCAAACACATGTTGATGGGAAGCCAGTGATGGTTCAATGGGCCTCACGCAAGAACATCTTTGTAATCCTTATGCTAAAGTTCTCATACTTTGGGATAAACAAACGCTCCTAAATGGGAAAATGTCTCTCAGAAATGTCTCCTTGCAACCTGATTGGATGCCACCTGTTCACGCAACATGAGATTTTGCAAACTCAAAAGTAAAAAAAGTTGCCACGAAAGGCAGCAAAACTGTTTTAAGTCCGGATAGACAAAGGTTGTAATATATATTCAGAATAGATCCGCATTGATTTATGATGATTCAACAAGAAATGAGTTCTCCACGACTAATATTAGAAGTGGTCATGTGACTCATATTGCATGACAAGTAACAGGTGATTGTACACTGTCAGGCTAAACTGTACTAGTTTCCGTGACCATATATTGCAATGAGATCAATACACTGGCTCTTACGTGGCATGCCATGATGATGATGAAGATGATTTGGTAAACAGAATATCCATTTTGCAATAAGTATGTTGCCCTTTACAGTAATTAGGTTTAACTCCACATTCATTCAGATCAAACGCATCATGATACAAGGTGAGGTCTGACTGTTTATCCGCCTTATGGCAAACCAACAGTTTGTACATGACCATTTGCAACTGCCACAAATCCTCCTAAATCTGTCATGGTGCCATTTAAGATAACCTTTGTTGTTGTTGTTGCAGCACTGACTCATGCTTGTTTGTTCATGTAATTATGGGGATAGTGTGAAGGCCTTATAATATTCTTAAAGTGCACTAGTAGAACCTGTGCCTTCTAATCTGTCTATGAGGAGTAGTTTGTATGAGCTTGGAGTCTCCATTACAGCACACACTTACAGACAGTCTGAGGGAAGTGACAAAAGTTATTTGAAGATTAAAAAAGGACTTTCAGACTTCCAGCTATGAGTGTGTAGGAAGTGAACCCGATTGTTTGATGTCTGCTTAAAGGTCCCCTATTATACGTTTTTTCATCAATATATTACAGGTCTCAGATATATACAGAACCTGTCTCTGATTGGCTGAAACACCAATCAGATCAATGCAGCGTCCCATAATCCCCTCTGTTTCAGCCCTGTTTCCAAAGTGCTGATTCTCCGTCTGTTAATCTAGATGAAAATAAGGAGCCCCTCCCCACGCCCCTCTGAGAGAGATTTGGTTAAAAAGAACTCAATGGTGCTCTAGAGGAGATTCAGGTGATAAGGTGGGGGGGGGGGGGG